CCCCCCCCCCCCAACATCCCATTTTTGCAAAAAAAAACCAAAAAAACAGTGCATTTTTTTCAAAAACGGAGGCATTTTTGCCTTCCCCCAGATCCCAGGAGCCCTCTGCAGGCTTCAGTGGGGCTGGTGGAAGGCAAAAATGCCAATTTTCTCAAAATGGCCCATTTTCTGCCCATATTTTGCAAAAACGGAGGTGTTTTTGCCTCCCCCCAGCCCTGCTGAAGCCTGCAGAGTGTTCCTGGGGGCCAGGGAGGACAAGACCGTTTTTTTCTTACTTATCTGTTTGAAATCTTGGTGTGTCTTAGACATCGGTGCGTCTTGTAGTCCGACAAATACGGCAGTCGTCCTGCTGACTCTCCGTTCTTTGCAGATCTGGGCTAGTAACTTCCTGCCCAACGAAGCCTCGCTGGAGGACAAGTCCCAGCGGAAGTACTACCAGGACAATGCTGCCCCCATGCTGCTGGACTATGCCCGGCTGGAGGCCGAGCGGAAGGTGGGGACCCCTGGGCCGTCAGGGAAGAGGGGGCCGGGCTCCACTGGGGGATGCCGGCTCCGCGGCTGATCTGGAGCTCCTTTGCAGGAACGGGTGGTGGTGGAAAATGCGGACTGGCTGGTGGTGGTGCCCTACTGGGCCGTGTGGCCCTTCCAGACCCTCCTGCTCCCTCGGAGACACGTCTGCCGGCTGGAGGAGCTGCGGGAGGGCGAGAGAGACAGTAAGCGAGTGGACGGTGGTGGGGAGAGGGGGGCCTTGGGCGGTGGGCTCGGGAGGGATCTGTGGGGTCCTTCGATGCTGCCTGAGCTCTGCGGTTTTCTTGCAGAGGTTTAATGAGGGGAAGAGGAGGAGGAGGAGGAGGAAGAGATGGTAGTGGTGGAGGAGAAGTAGGGGTGGGGTTCTTGGTGCTCTCTGAGGTTGGCTGTTTTCTTTAATGAGAGGAGGAGGAAGAGATGGAGGAGGAGGAGGAAAAGAAGATGGAGAAGGAAGAGTTTTGGTCAACACACTATAAAAAAGATGTTGAGAGGAGGAGGAGGAGGAGGAGGAGGAGGAGAGGGACAGTGTGGTCTTTGGTTCTCTCTGAGATTGGCTATTTTCTTGCAGCTGTTTAATGGGAGGAGGAGGAGGAGGAGGAGGAGGAGGACAGTGGGGCCCTTAGTGCTCTCTGAGCTTGGTGGTTTTCTTGCAACAACAACACCCCCACCAACACAGAGAGAGAAAGCTGCTACAAACAGATAGCCTTCCCTTCTAGCACTGATGATGTTACCACGTTGGGTAATGAAATGTCTGCAAGAAAACAACCAAGGGAGCCCCAAGAGCCCCACAATCCTCCTCCTCCTCCTCCTCCTCTTCTCCACATTCCCTCCGAGCACTGATGATGTTACCTAGTTGGGTCATGAAAGCAAAGTTCCAAATTCAGAGGCCATCAAGAATTTCACAGTCGTCGTCTCCTCCTCCTCCTCCTCCTCCTCCTCCTCCTCCTCCTCCTCTTGGCTGCAAACCCCCTTCAGAGATGTGCAAATGGGGCTGCTTTGGGTGGGGGCTCCAGCCCAACTGTTGGCAGGGGGGGTTGGGTTGTGGGGTGGCTTGGTGGGTGCTGACTCCACTGAGCCTCCTTTTTTGCAGGCCTGGCCTCCATCATGAAGAGGCTTCTCACCCGATATGACAATCTCTTCCAGGTTTCCTTCCCTTACTCCATGGGTTGGCATGGTGAGCTTTGGGGAGAGGGCAAGAGGGCTTGGGCACGGGGCAGGCAGGAAGCAGCGGTCTTGGGAGATACCTTCTCGGGATTGGGAGGCCTTTCCTTCCTTCCTTCCTTCCTTCCTTCCTTCCTTCCTTCCTTCCTTCCTTCCTTTCTCTTTCTTTCTCTTTCTTTCTCTCTTTCTCATTCTTTCTTTTCTTTCTTCCCTCCCTCTCTCCCTCTCTTTCCTCCCTCTCTCCCCCCTTCCTTCTTTTCTCTGTCCCTGCCTCTGTTTTCCTTCCTTCCCTCCCTCCCTTCCTCTCTCCCTCCCTCCTTTGTTCCTTCTTTCCTCCCTCTCTTCCTCCCTCCTTCCTTCCTCCCTTTCTTTCTTTCTCCCTCCCTGCCTCTGTTTTCCTTCCTTCCCTCCCTCCCTCCTTCCCACCCTGCCTCTGTTTTCCTCCCTTCTCTCTCTCCCTTCCTCTCTTCCTCCCTCCCTACCTCTGATTTCCCTCCTTCCTTCGTTCCTTCTTTCCTCCCTCTTTCCCTCCTTCCTTCCTCCCTTTCTTTCTCCCTCCCTGCCTTCTTTTTCCTTCCTTCCCACCCTGCCTCTGTTTTCCTCCCTTCTTTCTCTCCCTTCCTCTCTTCCTCCCTCCCTGCCTCTGATTTCCCTCCCTCCTTCGTTCCTTCTTTCCTCCCTCTCTCTCTCTCCCTCCTTCCTTCCTTTCTTCCTCCCCCCTGCCTCTGTTTTCCTTCCTTCCCTCCCTCCTTCCCACCCTGCCTCTGTTTTTCTGCCTTCTCTCCCTCGCTCCCTGCCTCTGATTTCCCTCCCTCCTTCGTTCCTTCTTCCCTCCCTCTCTCCCTCCTTCCTTCCTTCCTTTCTTTCTCCCTCCCTCCCTTCATTCCCATCTCCCTCCCTCCCTCCCTTGGCTCTATGTGTCTCATCTCACATCTCAGAGCAACAGTGGGCGGCTTGCAACATAATAAAACCTCCCCAAATAAAAAGCAGTTATCAATTATGAACAGACTAAAGAAGTTTCAAAGGATGAAGAAGAGGCTCAACGCCTGTTTTGGGGGGTGGGGTGGGGGAGCAGCAGTGGCCCCTCCTCTACCAGCCGCCTCCAGCCCTACATCTTCCGTGGGGCCCATGCCAGCCAAGCATAACCAAGTCCTAGAGCCCTTCCTGATGCCCAAGAAGACGGCAGGGGTCTCCCCTCTGGTGGCGAGATGTTCCAAAGGGCCGGAGCTTCTCCTGGGCCCCACCAGCAGGGATTCCTTGGCCAACGGAGGTTATAGCAGGGAACTTTTGCAAACCGCCAGCCACATCCCCCCTCCCCCCCCCCCCCCCGGCTGAGAGCCATAGATTGAAAAGGAGGATGTGAAGCACCTGTGCACGTGGGCTCCCCAACCTTATTAGCTTTAAGACTTGGGAACTTCAACTCCCAGAATCCCTCAGCCTTAAGACTTGTGGGCTTCAACTCCCCAGGGAATTCTGGGAGTCGAAGTCCACGGGTTGTAAAGGGGCCGCCCGCAGTTGCCCTCCTCTGCCTTGGAGGCAGCTCACAGCTGTTGGTTTTATGGCTTCTCCCTCCGTCCTGGCCGCCTCCTTCCTCTCTGCCCCCCCACCCCTCCAGGGAGCAAATCCTGCTGGCACCCGGCCTCCCTCCCTTGGGCTAAAGCCTGGCTTCCTGCTCTCTCTCTCTTCCCCACAGGGGCCCCCACGGGGCCGTACCTGGAGGCCGACTGCAGGCACTGGCAGCTCCACGCCCACTACTACCCTCCTCTGCTGCGCTCCGCCACCGTCCGTAAATTCATGGTGGGCTACGAGATGCTGGCTCAGGCGCAGAGGGACCTGACCCCGGAGCAGGTGAGGGGCTGCGGGGGACGGTCTGCAACTCTCCTTGGAAAGAGCTTCAAAGTGAAACGGGGTATTTGCAGCCCAGGGTGGGAAGGAGGGTCCCTGGGGGCTCTCCGAGCTTGGTTGGTTTCTTCTAGACGTTTCATGGCCCAACCAGGTAACCTCATCAGGGCTAGAAGGGGTGTAGTTTGTGGAGAGGAGGAAGAGGAAGAGGAGGAGGGAGGAGGGGGAAAAGGAGGAGGGAGGAAGAGGACGAGGACTGAGGGGTCCTTGGTGCTCTCTGAGCTTGGTGGTTTTCTTGTGGACGTTTCATCACCCAACTAGGTAACCTCATCAGTGCTAGAAGGGGGAGGAAGAAGAGGAGGAGAAGGGGGAGTGGGGGGGGGGAGAACAGGAGGATTGTGAAGTCCTTGGTGCTCTCTGAGATTGCTTGTTGCAGACATTTCATGACCAAACTAGGCAACATCATCCATGCTGGTTGGGTAATGAAAGGTCTGCAAGAAGCAATCCCAGAGAGCACCAAGGAGCTTCCAAGTTTAAAATTCCAGCATTGAGTTGGCTGAACTGATCCGTGGGGATCGGCAGGGAAAGGCTGAGGGTTGTTGAAAGAGGGGGGGGGGACCCTACTCTGGGGCATTGTGTGGCCTTTGGGAGGGGAGTCTTCACAGTTAGTGGCCAAACGCTGCTTTTCAGACATTAAAGTTGCTAAGCAGTCGCAGAGCTCTAAGGGAAAGGGTTGTAATAAATGAGGGGCCTTCAAAACATTTAACACGTGGACTCCCAGAATCCCTCAGCCTTAAGACTTGTGGACTTCAACTCCCAGAATCCCTCAGCCTTAAGACTTGTGGACTTCAACTCCCAGAATCCCTCAGCCTTAAGACTTGTGGACTTCAACTCCCAGAATCCCTCAGCCTTAAGACTTGTGGACTTCAACTCCCAGAATCCCTCAGCCTTAAGACTTAGTGACTTCAACTCCCAGAATCCCTCAGCCTTAAGACTTAGCGACTTCAACTCCCAGAATCCCTCAGCCTTAAGGCTTGTGGACTTCAACTCCCAGAATCCCTCAGCCTTAAGACTTGGCGACTTCAATTCCCAGAATCCCTCAGCCAGCTGGCTGAGGGATTCTGGGACTTGAAGTCCCCAAGTCGTAAAGTTGCCAAGTTTGGAGACCTCCTATAATAAACTGTGGAGATACCGAAGGAGCCAGGAAGGACAGGAGAAGTCCTTGAGTTTTGTTTCTTTTTTCGGGGGGGGGGGGAGCATTCACTAAAGCCCCCTGCAGCCTGGAAAAGAAAGAGGGAGCCCCCTGCCTTCACCCCTTTCCTCCTTCTCCCTCCATGCTGCTTTCTCTCCCCACAGGCCGCAGAACGTCTGAGGAAGCTCCCTGAGCACCATTACAAGCTGGAGGCCAAGGAGGCCCCCTAAGGCAGGCGGTGGCTCTGTTGGTGCCTGAGGCAGAGGGAGAACCCGAAGAGAGCCTGGAGGAGAACCACCCCAGAGGCAGAGGAAGAGGGGCCTGTCCTTGGGGGCGGCTGAGAACTTTCCTCAGGAACTGCCTGACTCTGGCTGCCTGGCTCCATTAAGACGGTGATGCTGGCAACCAGTTAAGCCAGGACGTCTCCCCTTCTCAAAAGCCCTCTGCGGAACCGGAGGCTCCGTGCCCTGAGTGCCCGCAAGAGGCGAGACCTTTCCTCAGAGAAGGGGGCTGTGAGGGCACTTCCCCAGCACCACCGAGTCTCTACTGCTCCTCGTGAGGATGGGCGGCCGTGTTTCTTTCCTGCTCTGCCCAGGTCCTGGCACTATTAAATCAGGATATTTCGCGGTGAGGCTGGGCTGTTTCTTTCTTTTTTTCTTTAACTCTCCCCAAATTATGCTAGAAAGAGTGCAGGGAAGAGCAGCAGAGATGATTAGGGGACTGGAGGACAGAACATACGAAGAACGGTTGCAGGAACTGGGTACGCCTAGTTTTAAGAGAAAGAAGGACCAGGGGAGACATGGTAGCAGCCTTCCAATCTTCGAGGGGTTAGGCTTAGGGTTACAACTAAGGAGACATTTCCTGGCCATCAGCCGGTGGAACACTTTGCCTCCAGAAGTCGTAGTTGCTTCATCCCTGGGGGGTTTGAAGGAGGGGCTGGACAACCATTTGTCTGGAATGGAAGAGGGTCTCTTGGTTGAGCAGGGGGCTGGACTAGAAGACCTCCAAGGTCCCTTCCAACTCTCTTCCTCTGTTACTCTGTTCTGTTAAATAATAAGACTTTCTCTCGAAAGCATCTAGTGACGGAGCATCCCCGACTCCAGGTGTCAAATGATTCCATTTCCATCAGGAAATTAACTCTTGTAGGTTGGATCTCCTTCTGAGGACTTTCTGCCCATTGCTTCTTTTCCTGCGCTCAGGTGCTACGGAGAGTAAACGGATGACTTCCTCCTGGTGGCCCCCCAAGGATCAGAAGATACTACCAGGCCTCCCCGTCTCCATTCCAGGTTGCTTCTCTCCTTGATTAGTTTCCACCCGTTGCTTCTTGTTCTGCCCTCAGGTGCCTTGGATAATAGTTTGACTCCCTCTTCTTTGTGAGAGATATTGGAAGGCTGCTATCCTGTCTCCCCTGGTCCTTCTTTTCATTAAACTAGACTTACCCAGTTCCAGCAACCGTTCTTCATATGTTTTAGCCTCCAGTCCCCTAATCCTCTTTCTTGCTCTTCTCTGCACCCTTTCCAGAGTCTCCATATCTTTTTTTTATATCGTGGCGACCAAAACTGAATGCCTTATTCCGAGTGTGGCCTTCCCAAGGCCTTATCAAGTGACATTAATGCTTCACACGCTCTTGATGCCATCTGAACTGTTATTAATTCAGTTCCCTGGGTGCGGAGGTGGAGGTCCTGGGGCTATTCCCCCATTTGCAAATGGGATTTGCTAGGCTTCGTGTGAGGCTGAACCTCCCCCAGTGACGGGAAGCGAGGGGGCCGTCGCTGCGGGCCACCAACTCATTTTCACCAACACACTTTTGCGAAGGTGCTGTGTTTCCATCCAGCATCACGCTTAATGTGAGAAGACGCGGCTGGCCATCTCCTCCCAGCCTGCAGCTCGGCGCTCACTCAGGACCACTCGAAGTCCATAATATATTTCGTATTCGAAAAGGGAATCTAAATATGTATATTCTTTTTTCTCCTTCTTCTCCTGGAGTAATAAATGCTGTGATTTTGTTTTGAAGGCGTGATGTTTTATTCATTTTGAGACTCGCGATAAAATGATCGGAAGAGGCCGGCTGGAGGGAAGGATGCAACGTTTCATTATTTTTATATATAAAAAAAGGTCTTTTGGGTTTTTTTTTTTTTTTAAAAGGGTTCAGAAACGCTGTGGGATCATCTGGCAGCCAGCTTCCTCTCGTAGACCTTGATGTATGACCACACGTGAGCCCAAAGTTTATGTTGTTAAGTGAGACATTTGTTAAGTGAGCTTTCTCCATTTTACGATCTACCTTTCCACAGCTGTTAAGTGAATCACTGCAGTTATTAAGTTAGGAACATGGTTGTTAAATGAGTCCAGCTTCCCGGTTGACTTTGCTTCTCAGAAAGTAACAAAAGGGGATCACGTGACCTTGGGACGATTCAAAAGTCATGAATATGAACCAGTTGATTAAGATAATTTTTATTGTCATATTCTGTGGGCACACTGGCACACATTAAAAATGAAATTCTCTTGCCTGCTCTCAAAAGTTTACACAAATATAACAGAAAGAGGGAGGGAGGGAGGGAGAGGGAGGATACATGATAAATTGTTGGATGGATAGATATGGATGGATGGACAGTTGCATGATTAATTGATTGATCAATAGATGTATAGAGATTAGATAGAGATTAGGGAGAAACAGAATGGATACATAAATTGTTGGATGGATAGATATGGATGGATGGATGGATGGATGGATAGCTGCATGATGAATTGATCGATCAATAGGTCAGTAGATGCATACAGATAGAGATTAAGTAGATAAGAGAGAGAATGGATACATGATAAATTGATGGATAGATATGGATGGATCGATGGATGGATGATGAATTGATTGATCGATAGATCAGTAGATGCATACAGATTAGATAGAGATTAGGTAGATAAAAGAGAATGGATGATAAATGGATGGATGGATGGATAGATGGATAGTTGTATGATGAAATGATAGATCAGTAGATGCATAGAGATTAGATAGAGATTAGGGAGAGAAACAGAGAGAATGGATACATAAATTGTTGGATAGATAGATATGGATGGATGGATAGCTGCATGATGGATTGATCGATCAATAGATCAGTAGATGCATACAGATAAAGATGTAGATGAGAGAGAATGGATACATGATAAATTGGATGGATGGATGGATGGATGGATAGAGATGGATGGATGGATGGATGGATGATGGGGCATGTAGAGCCCTCTCTCTGGGCATGAACAATGTCACCAGCTGCTGTTCTGGGTTTTGTTGCATGCATACGCGCCAGTCAGCTGCTGTCTTCTGGGTTCTGGCACTCGGGTGCGCACACGTGCCCGCACATGCACCATCTACTTTTGGGACTCTGTGATGAAAAGGTTCTCATCACTGCCCAATACCCTTTCAGACAATTGACTGTCCAGTCCCTTCTTCGAAGCCTCCTGTGATGGGACACCCACAACCTTTGAAGGCAACTTCTCTTCCACTGGATGTTGATTGTCCTCCCTGTTAGGAAGATTCTCCTTAATGCCAGGTTCTTCCTCTCCTTGATTGGTTTCCATCCGTTGCTTCTTTTTCTTGCCTTCAGATGCTTTGGAGAACAGCTTGGCTTATTCTTCGCGGCAGCCCCTCAAAATACTGGAACACTCTTGTCCTGTCGCCCCTGGCCCTTCTTTTTACTAGACATGCCCGATTCCGGCAACTGTTCTTTGTTTTATCCTCCAGCCTCCTAATCATCCTCGTTGCTCTTCTCTGCCCTCTTTCCAGAGTCTCAACATCTTTTTTTATAGTGTGGTGACCAAAACTGGATGCCATATTCCAGGTGTGGTCTTACTTAAGGCTTTATAAAGCCGTATTAACTACTTCACGTGACCTTGTTTCTCTCCCTCTGTTAATGCAGCCTAAGATTGTGTTGGCTTTTTTGACCGTTGCCACAACACCCCGAGAAAGTCCAGTTGCCTTTTGAAAAAGCCCCTTTGGGGCAACCATGACCTGGATGGCCGAGAATCTCCGTAGGTCTTTTAGCTTTAGGACAAAATAAATCCGTTTTTCCCCAGAGGAGGTTTATGGAGAACCAGCAGGAATATTTGCCTTTATGCTTTTGGAGGTCCTGTCCTGGGGTCTAATGAATGGAAATTGCCAGCTGATTCCTTGCAGGGGCTTCTGCCTCTCCCCCTCCCCAAACTGGCCTGATCCTGCGATGCTCACAGCTTGCAAAGGCTGAGATCTGCGTATTTAGAAGTCATCTGGCTGCTAATGGGACTCCCCATTTTTTATTTCTCTCTCTCTCTCCCCTTCTCTGCATCTAAACGGTCAGATTTATTTTTAAAGCCTCATTTGTAATTAATCTTTACGTGCATCTGGTGTGGCAATGCCAGTGGGGGCAGCAAAGGAAGGGCAGAAGGAGGATGTGGGGGAAATCAGATGGTGCACAGGTTCCTCCCGTGACCTTGGGGGTCCTAGCTCTTGCCCCCCACGCCCCAGTGAGCTGTTACCCAGAGTGAAGAAGCCAATCGGGGTTGGACTAGAAGACCTCCGAGGTCCCTTCCATGATTCTATTCTATTCCATCGAGGAATTGTGGAATGACAAACGTCTCTGGCTTGTACAGAAGCAGGAAGCATCTCGGTTTCATGCCAGTGGTGAAATACAAAGTATTTTACTACCTGTTCTGTGGGTGTGGCAGGGGAAGGATGTTGCAAAATCTCCATTCTCTCTCCACTCCTGGGGGAAGGATCCTGCAAAATCCCCATACGTGGGGAAGGTTGTTGAGAAAATGGTGGCCTTTCAGCTCCGGCGGTCCTTGGAGGAAACCGATTATCTAGATCCCTT